CCACTTGGTTAAGACACAAGTACAAGGGTTCATCAGGTGAGTCCGGGGCGAGAGGAATTTCGGGTGATACCAAAGCTACAAGTACAGGTGATTAAAAATATCAACAAGCTCATACACGCGCATAAATGTCGCAAATGGCTTTTTTAGTGCCACTCTTGCTAAGAACGGTCCTCTCAACTTCCCGTCCAAAAAAAATTCTCCTTAATTTCTTTCCTATGAAAAGGGTTTAGGACACATGTTTAAAAATAGTTTGATGGTTTTCCAATTTTCTTTTGTATGAAGATTCCACCTTTCGAGAACTCTCTGGTAAGGGAATATTAACTAAGGTGTTACAAAAGCAAAAACACAGTCAATTACAGTCATTGTGCGAGTTTTTTTGACGTTGAAATTGTAGTTAGGCATCGTATTATGAACCTCTTCAACAGTAAGCAAATTCCTGTGATTGCCGTAGGTGATGATTGATCAACAAACCCGCGTTACTCAAAACTCAGTGAAGGTTGCGTGACTTCTCAACTTGGTCCAGTCCTCTTACTGTCACGTTCAATATAGTGGGTCAGTCGATATAATAACAATCTCATCTCGAGGTGTTGCATGACATGTTTCAACTGAACTGCAACAAAAAGTATTTGTTATCCAGCTCTCCTAACTGTGGATTTCTTCTTTACAGCCGGATGATTTGATTTATTCAGCTCTAACGTACTAGGGAAATCGGATGGATCACAAGTCACCTGGACGCTACTCACTACAACCTGTATGTATCATCCTGCTCTTTTACTGATGTCATCATGCGTATTTACACGCCATCATAATTATCTAGCACGGCTATCAAAAGTCTAAGCATAGGATCTTCTGTTAACAGTCGTTTTCGTTAAGCTCATTTCATATTGCATCAAAAAAGGGGCCTGACAAGATATAGAGACTTTGCACGCTTGTGAGAATAGTATCTAGGGAGATATGACCTGAAAAATATAAATCAGAGGAAATTCAAGCATCTTTAAAAAATATTGTCATATCTAGGTCAGAAAATCATCATTTGTGCTCTGTGATGGATGCTAGGTTTTTAAGGAAAAAAAAACTACCTTTATTTTGCTAAACCGCTGGGTGCTTCCAGTGCTAATCAGAGGCCTTCTTAGAGTAATTATAAGCTATGAGTCGAGGTATTTCTAGATAATGACATTGATTTGGCTTTAATGTTTTACTTTCAGTCACCAAATACAAAATAAAAGCTTTATGTCAAGACTTTGGTGTGTTAATAGCAAGAATTATGCTCAAAATTCTATTTTGCTTAGCCTTAGAGGGGCATGGAGAGTTTTTGCCAAAAACTTAACAAACCTCAATAAGCCAAATTTTTCACAACTTATTTTGATAAATGGGTCACTAAAGTACATATTGGATTTGATATGAAAGGTATGCAAGAAGGCTGGTGAATGTTTGAAAAATGGCAATTTTGGGTAGTGATTTTGACCTCAAATTTGACCTAACTTTAGTCCCAGGCTCCTCTCTGTGTAATCGCTTGAGAACAAAGTTACGTTTATGACGTAAAAGCTTCACCATAGTAGAGTCCATGGTCAAATTCATTTGGCAGCACAATTTACCAATGGAGTTTTACAGCACTTTCAAAATGCCACCTAAAAGGATGAATTTTTGGTGCTCCATAGACCATAAATGGGACCCCCCTGAAACTCCAGAACAAACCGTCAGAAAAGTAAGCCAAAGTGGCTTTTGAAATATCTGATCATACTCAACGTTTGTGGCAAGTTTAAGCCAAATCAGTTGACCACTACTTTTGGCTCCTGGAACACTTTCTCAAACAGAAACACTTAGGACGATTTCTGGCCACATTCCGATCATATTTTACCTTAATTTGGATGATACATGCGGTAATTATTAACCCCTACTGATATGTAATAGAAAAACGTCCTGTTATTGGACAAAATAACTCAACTGTTCTAATTTTACGCCCGATTTTTGGATATTGAGGGCGATCCGGTCTTTTGTCAGCTGTCAGTAAACGCCCACCACAAATGTCAGTTGTCAGTTAGATATTCAGTGATTTATCAGTTGTCAGTTAAAATTTTGGCCATTTGTCAGTTCAGTTAACCCCATCCAGACC